TTGGCAATTGTTGCGAGGCATGCGCACAACGCACATGTCCCATTTGCATGCATGCACGCACGGACATGCGCATAGCGCGCACGTCCCCTCCACATGCACGTTGCGAGGTCAGGACCTGCACGTGTGTCCTGTCGCATGCAGGTGGGGTCGTCCACATGTCACTTCATGCACGGACTGGTGCCACATATTGTGCGCGCACCATCCGCGCAGCAGGCCTTGGGCCCGCACTGCCACCACTGGTGGAGGAAATTTTTCTCCCTCGTTTTTCGTATCAAGAATCTTTTTCTCCTCTCTCTTCACCGGATTTTGCCACTTGGCATGAATCCAATGGTTTTGAACTTCTATAAATTGTCCTTTCTCTCCACACTTTCATTCTTTCATTTTTCAAAGGTAGACAGAGAGAGAGAAAGAGAGAAAGAGAGAGAGAGAGCAAAATAGTGAAAGAAGAAGAGAAAAAAAGAAAATGGTGGAGAAGAAAACATCAAGGTTTTGGTAAAGAATTTAGTATTACTTTCGACGTCTTAAGGAGTATTTTTAGATAAGCAAATTTAATATGATTGTTATTTTGTTTGTTTTGCATGTCTCTATGTTCAAATGAGTCGCATTATTCTGATTTTCAAGCATGCTATGTGAATTACTGACACTTGATGAATTTACATGTAATAAATGTAATATGTAGTCCGTAATAATAAAAGTAAAAAAAAAAAAAAAAAATAAAAGAGAAAAGTGGAATGAAGCCTGTGTGGTCTGAAGTATATTTGTATTGACATGCATATTGCATTAAATGCCTTGTTATGCTTTTTATCTTTGAGAAGTATCTGTTCCCCTTACTTTTCGGGGTATCTGTTTCCTCATCCCCTATATAGTCTAGAAAGACGTAAGAGGATCGCTCCTAGTGGATGACAGTGTACCCTCTAACGAGAGTGGTATCGCACTATTTGTAGGGGTCACTCGTGGTTAAGTAATTTCATAACTATAGATATCTGTTAGGACTACTATGGTCGGTACGATCGTGGTTATAGATCGTACCATGGTTTGGCCAATCAGAAGTAGGCCTGAGCAAATTGTTATATATGTATCTGATCTGGTCATTCCACTTGGGTAATTAGAAATTTGTATCTGCTCTTATAAATAGAAGTTTGTAACAAATTCGCGAAGCAGGACACAAAATATCTGTGCATTTGATGATTTATTTGATTTTTTATATTATTTGGCATGATATATGTATATTTGATTTTATGTGCTAACGTACTATTTTGATATTCAAGTAAATGGTTTTCTTTACTAATGATGAGTTAGATAAACAAGAAAGCTAAACGATAAGATAAAATAATAAACTTTTGAAATCTTACGATGTTATTTTAATACTGTTTTCCTTACTGAGCATATTAAACTCACTTTTTTCATCCCCCAAATGAAGAACCACAAGCAGACCTATCCTTTGAAGTTTATGAAGATTCTGTGGATCTACAAGTCTGAGTGCATGACTATTCTCGTACTCTGATAAATTCCAGTAGTATAGTGAAAGAAGTGACCCTTATGTTTTGCATTTTGTTGCCACTTCTATTCTTAGTGATGTATGTATTTGGAACATTATATATATTTGTAAGGAATTTGTTAAAGTTTGATTCCGTTATATAAATATTATCATGCACTCATTATTCTGAATCATATATGACACCCATTTGCCTTAATTGGCACCTGAGGTGATGAGTGTTGTCACATTGCGTCCAGGCGGGAAGAAAATTGGCATGCCCGCAGGTGAGGAAAATTTCTACCCACAGTTGTGGGTGCTGTGAATGGGCTTATTTACATCCTCAAGGGTAAGTGTTCCTATATGCCTACACACAAGCAAAAATTTTACGTATGCCTGCTTGGCCGCAGCTGCGTAGGCATGTGTGTGTGTTCTGCGTGCAAGGGTTACCCGCAGATACTCAAATCTCGTAGATTAGGGGATTCCTTGAAATCTCACGACTTGCCTAGGTGGTTTTGAGAAATTTTAAAATGAAATTTTGAAAAAATTAAAAGTGCAAACAATCTCAATTCAAATTGTAAAAAATGAAAGCACGAGGAACATCAAATATTTTATTAAAAGAGAGGCATGGTTACATGCAGTCATTACATTTCTCCTCCCTTTACAAAAATTTGTCCTCAAATTTTGAAAAATTTTCCCAAATTTTGAAAATTTGTCGCATTAACAGAGATTTGATAAATTTATCTCAATAAAATTTGTTATTTTATATCATAGATGGGGAAACAAGACTTGCATATGAGAGTATGTATAATATTGACTTATCATATGAGAAAACATGCATCATTTGACAATTAATATTTTTCATTGTACCTCTTTTTTTCAGTGAAATGAAAGTTATTGCTTCTGAAAAAGTTGAATTTGTTAAATCACAATTGATTACTTTTGAACGTTCTTAATGATGCTAATTAATAAATCCTGTTTCTGATTTTTTTTTTTTCTTTTGTGGCACTAGTTTTTCTCAATTTA